GGCAACGTATACTCATACAGCAAAAAAGTCCATCAACCGGTAGTTGACTTCTGACTTCGAACTATAATGACCCCACTGTATGTCATATTCAACCTCTTCCACAGTACTCATCTTACCTTACCCCAACCTTTGTGTCTGCCTGTCTCTTTTATAACTGTGAACCATTATTCTGTTCCCCCACTCTATCTTTTGTCACTTTGATGTTCCTCCTCCTCTCTGTGAAGCTTGAAGTCAACTAAATAGATAATGATAACTATCAAAACGCCTGCCATTTGATATAAATAAATGTTAAGTCAAAGCGTCTTAGTATTAAGTAGACGATCGTAGATGGCACAATCAAACACCATTTTTAATCAGCTGGCTAATGATTTCTAAGCACTGCGAACGTGGATCTATTCAGAAATTTGGAGATCATACTTTGAAATTTAAACTTTGCGAAATATGGAACTAACATTGAAATAACTAATACAAAGTGAGCAATCTGGTGAATTTATAATTCGAATGAAGTGTAACTGATTCCATAAACCCCTCCGACACCCCCCCCCCCCCCCCCCCCCCCCACCCTAAAGCCTTGAGAGCCCCACGTTGATACTTTTCTCATGATTGCATTTAGGAAAATCTTTTTCTGATTATAATTTAACTGTCACGTTAAATGCAAATAGGCTACAACAAAAAAATAGCATAGCCCCGGGTGTTGTACGTGGGAACCGAGGCAAAAGGTGCAAATGATATAGTTATCCAATGCAGATGACGAACTTTAAAAGTATTTACAAATCGATGAAAGAAAAATTAAGTTAACACGTGAAAATCAGTACAAGGGAGAGGGAAAATTGTATGAAAGGAACTCCATGGGCAATTTTGCTTCATTTTACATTACAGGGAAGTGCATAACGAATGAACCTATGAGAAAAGGTCATAAGTTCGCTATGTTTGCCGATATTCTCATATATATATATATATATATATATCACATCAAGCGGGCAACTTAAACAAGGCGAATTATAGAAATAGACACAGAAAGATAAAACAAGGGAATAAATCATTCAGGAAACTTAGAGGGTAAGCAGTTTATAGGCCGATTCCTCTCAAAGTCTGGCCAAAGGTGGAAATGCTGAATGATCTTTGATTGAACTAGCATTCCGACTCCCTATTCGTGCACTCGGAAATGGCATATCGGCCAAATTCCCGTGGTGCACATAACTAGTGCCAACCTAAGTAAGCAATAGCCAACTCAAATACAGAGGCCTTACATGGAATTACAAAATAAAATTCTGAACAATACTATTTTGACCAACAGAGAGACAAACCGTCAAGAAAGGCGAGATTGATTTGAGATTGACATCATCCGGAATCATTTGAAGAACCTTGGTGACATCGACAAATTCGCTGAACTGCGTGGCCACCTCAATAGCCAGATCTATCCGTGGTTTGAACCGAGAGTTTATTTCATTCTGTGGAGATTCTGAATATGAGAAAAATGACTGTGCTTACAACTTGAAATATAAAGTTGTTAACTGTGTTGATCAGAAGGGGTTACCATTTCCAGGAAGAATAATACCCAAAGCAATCGGCTCCAATGGATTAAGACAAACATCAATGAGAGTTGTGTAGATTTCATGCAACTTTGGAGTCTCGTCATCTTTTCGAGTACCTCCAGCACTCGAGGAAGTGATGAAACGACTTTCTGCTTCAGCTTGAACTTGAGCACAGTGTTGCAGGGCCCTATTCCAGTCTCCCAGTAAATGAACCCACATTGTCAAAGCCTAAGGAGGGCAAATTAAAGTAAAGTAGACGACCTCTACCTGTCTGTGCCGATCCAGTCGAGCCAGTAGAACAGCACGTTCTTCAAAGCAGCCATCATAGGGGAAGTGGAATAGTAAATCCTCCGTTGATAGTTTGACATTCTTCATGCTGAGAAAAGTGAGAAGACGATACCGCAAGCGAGCAACGACGCCATCATGTGGTGTTTCCTCATGGGCATGAGAAGGCATCACCTTTCCGTGGCTGTTCGTCTGGATTTCTTTTCTATTAATGCAAAATTATAAAGCAAATTCCAAGCTAAGTTAGGAAAACGTTTTACATCACATTTTGAGTGGGGGTAGAACATGGGAACTCGCTGATGAGAAACACGCGATCTTGTTGGCCAAATTTAATCAAAACAACCGATATTACAGGTAATGAGTAGGTTTAAATTTTCACTTCTTCCTACTGTCAGCCAGCTGGACCTTACAACTCTTTTAGCCATTCGAGACTTCTCTGTGGCCTCATGACCTGCAATCAAGTAATCTAAACCACACCAAAACAGGAGACCGGAGGCTGTCGACTCGACGAGTTCATTTGACCTTACTATCTGCATTCAGCCAGACCCAACTCAATTACTTTCAATCATAAAATGTGTACACCCACTCTATTAACTCTATATCATCCACTTCATTACCACAATCGTTTTCTACTGCACAGACACTCGTCCGAAAGTAACCAACGCTTTAATCAACCTCTCAGACCATTCCCCTCTCTCTCTCTCTCTCTCTCTCTCTCTCTCTCTCTCTCTTTGGTCTGATCTTTTAGCTTCTCGAAGGGTCCTGTTCGCAAACCTTGATGGTTGAGGCATTAAAATTTGCACAGATTAGAGGGAAAAACTTATAAAATGCCAAGGATAAAGAACTTGGGTACCTAGCTGCTATTCCATGCTTCAAAAAGAAACGTGTGAACGAGCACGGCACTACTCATTGGGACACTGCCATAGAGAGCGTTAACTAATAAATAAGGCTGAAAACTGCGGAGACTAACATGAGAGCACGGGTGTAGCAATCATTCAACGCAACGCATGGAGAAAAACCAGAGGGAGGTGGGCATATTTCTGGCATTTCATAGAGGTCCGTGGCACTTTCATTGTCATCAAGAGATCGACAGACGCGACAATTCTGAGAGGGTGGATGCGTGTGACAATGATTGGGAAATGGCCAAACACAAGTTTCCTCAAAATTTTGGGAACCTGTCAGGGACGTCTCAGAGATCACGGTTGATTTAGGAGGAATAACATGGGTACTTAGGCCATTCTGGACAATATAGGAGCTCTAAAATGTCAAAAAAATAAGTTTACTTATGATTTAATTACATATTACAGTATATTTAATACCTACTGAAGAGGCAACCCCTAATCCAACGGGTTGAGTGTGGTTGCATCTATGATTTGCGTACAAAAAAATGTGTCGAGTAAATGAATAGAATTTGTACGTGCAAAATTTTGACAGCTGTGAAAGACGTTATATGCTCGGTCATGTCTAGATAAGTTTATCGATTCTATTAAAAGCACGTTTGCTCAAACACACACACACATCAACCCAGTTTAAAGATGTAAGGTCCTGCAGAAAAGTAACTTGAGCCAAGGACAAATAGGCCAATGTACCAGACTTCACCCCCCCCCCCCCCCCTATTAGAATAAGCAAACAACGAAGTGAAGAGTCAGACAACCAAATAAAGTCCAAGTTCAGAATGCAGAATTGTTCATTTACATATAAAGATCGCACCACAACAAAAAATGCATTGCAAAAATGGATGCAAAGCCATCAAATTCCACAACACTCAAGAGGAGGCTTACGAAGCTTATTTATTATATAAATGCATATATCGATCGTAGTTTGATCGATTTTTAATGGCTGACTTCCAATGTTCCACTTCGAAGGTTATACCAAAATCAACCTTTCAGTGTACCCATATATTCACTTAATTTATTATTGTTGAGTTCGCCCCCCCCCCCCCAACAAACTCAATTAATTTGGCAAAAAGTTAGAGAAATGTTCATTTAAGTGCCCAATTTACCCTTCGTTCCTGCCACACAATTTTACTCCATTATTGAAAGGTCTTGTCTTCTCCTTCATGAGGCAAAGGCGTAACTATCGCCTCGAAAGGGGTGAGACGCTAAGATTAAATAAATCAATGGAAGTATATTCGAGGAAAATAAATTCCCAATAAAACCTACATTAGGAGAGTTTGACCGTGACGTAGGGGATGCACTTTCATTGAGAGAGTCGGAAATATCCTCATGAACAATATCCAATGCGTCCAGACCTTCTTCCTCTTCATCAATTTCACATCCACAGGCTCCGAAAAGGGTACACTCAAGGAAGGGAATAAGGAGATGAGGTGCAACTCTCTGTAAATATCGCATCACCTTGTCTCGATAGCTCACGAGAGAATAATATTCTTCTTTTTCTAAACAAAGGTAAGGAAACACTTACCAGTACTTAATGCATGAATAGAGGGATTAGACTGATAAAATAATGACTACTGGGATCGAAATTCGTTCACCAATAAAAATTCGATATGAGCACTGACGAACCTGATTTACGGACATGCACTAGGCCGCTCAAATAAATAACAAAATTCGATCAAGAGTATTGACCGTCACGGAAAGAAAAATTAACACCTCAGGGTGCTTACTTTCTATTGAGGCATTGCAATATATTTTGCGTTCCCAAGTTAGGAATATACTCATCCACTCTCGAGGATGCTGTTTGAGTATGGTTTCACAAAACTCAGAAACCAAATCGAATGGAGCGTTGGGAAGATCCTTCAGAAAATTGACTATTTCTTGGTAGGAGAAGCTTTCCTTTCCAGAGCCACTCTCGGAAGTCATTAAAGAGAGAGCCATTTGATGCATTTCGCGCATCTTATACACTTTGACCAAATCCTAAAAACAGAGGTAGAAGATGATGCTTTAAAAATAAATACTCTCTACTTTACTATAAGCAAGCAGGTTTGAAAATGCACACTAAAAAACGACACGCCCACCCAAGAGCCAAATTTAGCAGTTTGGGAATAAATCAGTTTTGATAAATGGGGGGGGGGGGTGTGCGATAGACTTACCTCTACGTGGTGCACCCTGGGCAACATATACTCATGCGGCAAAAAAGTCTATAAACCGGCAGTTGACTTCTGAGTTCAAGCTATCATGACCCCACGCATGTCATATTCGACCACCTTCACAGTACTCACCTCACCTTTCATCTACCTTTGTGCCTGTCCCTTTAACATCTTTAAAACACTCTTCTGTTCCCCCCCCCCCACTCTCGACTTTTTCGATTTGATGCTCCTCTCCCTCTGTGAAGCCTGAAGTCAAGTAAAGGTCTAATGATAACTATCATAAAACCTGCCATTTGATAAAAATAAATAAATAAAATTGTGATAAATGGATCATTATTTGGCGTTATGAAAGAAAACAAAAGTATCAATTGCATCTTACTTTAGTCTGTTTATTGGCCCTTAGGATCTGTTCCGCAACCTCAAGTGAGCAATAATTCTCCTGCCTTAGAAGAGGTCCAATTCTGGCAATATTAGTTACGTTATAGCATTTGAGTAGACAAGTATCAACTGCCTCAAGTAAACTCCTCCGTTTTCTTAGCGTTGGGCTCGCGTCAACAATACTACCACAAGAAATTTGCTGCTCAAGAAATTCCTCAGGCCTCGCTCCATGTGGACAACCACTTCGTAGATGACTTCTCCAGCGTACCAGATACGTAATCAGTGGTTCAAAAAGAGCAGTCTTTTCCGGCTCGGTAAGAGGCTAAAATAGCAAACTACTAATTAGATATGAGTACAAATAGGATATCAAAGTAAAAATGTTTACTGACTTCAGGTGGGAAAGGATAATTCGACGGTGACTCTTCATTATAAATATCGCCACCACATAGCCCAAGAACTAAAATCGGATCTATTTTGAGTTTATAGAAGTACTGAAAAGCAGTATCAAATAGACGTTTGGTGTTGAATAAGTGAAAAGCATAGAGAGCGCAAATTTGATGGTTCGAGATTGATGGTTGACCGGAAATATTTGCAAAACTTGCCAAACGAAGGGCCATGTTGAATTCCTAAAGAATAGACACAATAATGCTTTCCATATTAATTTACCTCCGCATTGACGAGTTTCTGAACACACCTAAGTCGATTCGCCGACAAAAGGAGCCACACATCACTTCCATGACCCATAGTGGAAGGACGACATTCATCGGATGAAAGACAGGGTTGTGAATCATCCGGCTCATATACAGACGAAGCAGCCGATGCATACAACCAACCCAGACCATTGGAACACATCGAGCGTATACGTGGGATTTTGATAGCTTGTACGAGGTCATTTGGTTCAAGCGAATGGATCTCAAGTCGCTTGGGCAAGGCCTAAAAGTTCAAGACGATAGAATAATGTTGATATATACACGATAAGTAAAAACCCTTAAATCAAAGAAAAATTACAGCAAGAAGGTAGGGAGGGAAGGCGTGAAGGCACTGTGGGATATCTGAGAGTGTCGATGTCGGTGTACTTCCAACGTCGTCATTCAGGGGCAAAAGAGTGTACAAATTCTCATCCGAAGCCATTGCAAATGGGGCGGATGTTCCAAGGACCCATTTTTCATCCGGCGTTTTTTCAAGATCATCTTTTTCGGAGTTGGTGGCTTCGAAGGTCACGGGATCCAGACAGTATGGTAATGGTGTCATAATAGCTGTTGCCATTTTCATTGTTGCTGAGATTTTCCGGCACTAAATAGCGAAAATGGTCATTGATCGAATAAGAAATCAAAGTATTGCCATTCGACGTGCCTTGAAGATTATCAATTATTATGAATTAATCATAAAAGTAGTTAATATGGACCTCGAGTCAATAACTCTGTCATTGCTGAGAGAGCATGAAAGGAACAACTCAGTTACATCTGCAAAGACGAAAAATCAAGGTAATAAGACCCTGGTTAGCCATTGAAATTCATTGTCATACAACAATGACGCAAATAAGCACATTGGGAAATGAACGAAGTGAAAAGTAGATGGGAGAAGAAGCATTGATAATGAAACTACGAAGCACTTCGCTATTTATTAATTACTAAAGTTGGGTAAAATCGTGAGGCTCTTTAGATTCCGCTATTTGTTCAAGAAATGAACCAGCCCAATTCGCAGAACTTTTCATCGAAAAAATTAAAATGAAAATATACCATAATCTTCAAAGATGAAATAGACAACCAAGAAATCATCTAAGTCAATTTAACTTATCTAGTTAATAGCTAAACACTACCGAAATGCGGTAAGTTTCAACCTTCCGCTTACACGAAATATACTGAAAAAGAATACCCAAGAAGGGAACAAATGGGTAATTTAGTAATATACAAAATTATAGATTTGGAAGATGGAAAGTAGTTTGTCCACCTCTTCGCAGAAAATCAAAAAACATCTAACACAATAGGCTACCAAAGCAGTACAAACGTGTGTGTCATAATTTAATTATTTAAAGCTTCATAACATTAAAGACACTAAATCCACAAGATAAACACAAATAATGTTAGTAAATAACATAAGGCCATTAATAGAATTATTAATAACCTTTGATATAAGAAGAGAAAAATCCCGATGACGAAGTCGTAATCCACCTATCATTTAATTGAACAGAATTAGCCAATGTGGTTGGCCAACCAGATCTAAATGGATTAACACCAATCGACATCAAGCTCGTGATCTTTTGACATGTATACATTGGCGAGCATACAAGTGCATCTGATACATCATTGTTCCTCTTCCATAAATTCGCAATTAGACAAGCGAGATACATAAATACAAATCATGAGGAGCATTGGAAAAAGGACACAGATCAAATGACTCTAGGATTTGAAAAGAAAAACAAACCAATCTATTGAGAAGCTTAAATTGAAAAGACCTACGCAGAATAGAAAAAACTGTTCAGCTTGAAACCTTATAAATAGGCAAGGCGACACGCTTCTAACACTTCTCGACTACAACATCTATAAAGCACAATGACAATATAAATCCAACTTACTTCTAGGGTTCTCAAATTCATGCTGAGATAATGTGAGCGCAGAGCAATCAAAAGAGTTTCAGTTCCACAAAATTGTAAAGACATCGCAGTATCAATAAGTGAGTATTCCGAGGGCCAAAAGGCAATGGATGGATCCTCTGATTCTGAAGGCGTAACAAAAGTTCCTCTGGAAGGCGACCAACGAAAAAAGAAAAGTTTTTTCTTTACACAAAAGCATAAATTTAGACGTGGAGGTTTATTGGAAGAAAATCGAGCTTCTGTAGTATAGGCTGGACGCTTGTTAAAGGGGTTTGAAAGATCTACAGTTGGAAAAATAAATAAATCTTCCGGAAATAAGAAGATAACTAAAGGTTAACCTGTCTTACCACTTGGAGATTCTGAATCCGCAGATTGATATTGGATGCCAAATACTGTGGCACCTTTGCTATTGGGTAGAACTGAGACAAGCTGTCGATTTGATAGACTATGAGCAGCGAGTTGAAATTCTGTCAAGACTAGAAAGAAACCATATTCTGGGACGGCTTGTATTTGTTGTATGCGTTTCTTGCAGAGATTGTGAGAGACGCAAAGTTTGACTTTTAAGGTGGGAAGAGCAGGCTCTTCTTCAGCTATCTTATCAATGGTAGTAAATTTGACTATTTTTCTCGGCCGCTTTTGATCAGTTATAGAAGGAATAAAAACATTGTCTGAATTGACTTCTAATGGTGTGAACTCGTAAATCAATATTTGTCCAGATTTGGTCCCGATTAGAAGATAATTTTGATAACATGTAATGCATTCAAAATCATAGTGATTGCCTCGAATAAGTCTAATTGCCGTAAAAGCTTTATGCATTTTCTATAAAGAGGAAGTGGAATAAATACGAATGTTCAACATTTAGAACTAAGAAATTACAAAGTTACGAATTACATTAAGTTTTCCCAAAGCTATAAATAAAAAAGTGTACTTCCAAACAAATAATAATCCATCAAATTATATATTAACCTTTATAAAACATCAAGTGATGCGAGCCTTTAATTCACATCTGGTCAATTTAAACGTCCGGGCTACGGTGAAATCCGAAGCTAGGCTAAGCTAGCAATCATGCCGACCAATAGGAGAGATCTGATGGTCTAAGTACCCTATCGCTGTAATGAAGAACCGCATCTCATGTGCTCCAAAGACACCAATAAGAGCTTGGAACTTCACTTGGCTTCCTCCCCCTTCTCTCATGTATCCTCTATGTAATAAAACTTATATCCAAGCCAAAATGATTTGGTACAGACTTTGTTAAGTATATATGCATCTTTTTAAAAAAATTGCATGTTAAATTCGACCTTGGGAGATACAGGTAACATTTATTTTCTTATTTTTAGTGATGTAGCATATACTTAACTCTCGTACCTGCTCTACTATTATAAGGAAATCTAAGAGCCTTGGTATCTCTTCCATATCTTACTGAAAATGGAATTTACAGTAATGATTTTTTTATCTTTTAATACGACATGTGTTGTATCACTGGACTCTGAGAGGATTTGGAAGCTTAGGGTTTTTACTTAAGTGTAAGTACTTCAGTAACATTGTATTCTATATTTCAATTTTAGCCCTTTTCACACACCAAACAAAATGTCAAGTTGATGGTAACATCAAACTCGAATCGATTAATTCTTTGGAATATAACTAAAACAACAGCACAGCATCAATCAGTACTATGTTTTAATAAATACAATCAGTGAGACGTTAGGGCAAGATGGGTGTTTTTTATAAAATGCTCTTTACTACAGTTAAAATAAAAGCAGAGCATATATTTAAGAACAATCATTTTCATACTAGTTTACAGCCTAGTAGTTTACGTTAAACTTACTCTGATGGCTCCTAGATTTATTACATGAATGTTGTTTTGGACATTCTAGATTTTCTTTACTGTTTTTTGGATTCCACAATTGAAGCATCCAGTCCGGTTTTAATACGCTTCCTCCCCCCACCCAGACAAAGATGAACCATTATTATTTTATCTCAGGGTGGATGATTTCCACGGCTATCCGTCAACCTTACCAACATATGAATGTAGATCGATCCTGACAGTCATTCGGAACAAAAGCACTTACAGGCTAGTGATACTTCGGTCACTAATATCGATAAGGCGATTTTATCGGTATGCAGACTGCAAGGATTACCAAAATGCCCGGAAGCACTTATTCTTCTGTCTGCCCAATTCGGAATTTAGTCAACTGTGGCCCACATATATCCGGAAAGTAAATAGATGAAAGCAACAGAAAGGAGACCCTCTGGAATCACACTAGAGCAACAAAGGCTACGAATTACAAACGCCTATTGCGACTATCACAACCCTGGCACACACAAAAGGTTAGGAAACCTCGTACTAATGTGCTCAATACCTTAGGCAAGTCGGAACTACAAACATGCAGTTGATATGATAACCTACCCCTATTTCAGTTTCCTAAAATCAAACTCATATTACTCCGTTCTTAGCGTCTTTTCTCCAGCTAATATTACTAAATGTGTTAAGGAAGTACTAATTTTTAATTCCTTTTCCAGTAGAAAATAAGGTCAATATTCATAAGGATGACTAATAACCATATTAACTAAGGCAGCAAGCTTCGGCTGACAAGTCGAAGGAAAGGTAAAAAGAGGACAGGTGATTTATTCACTTCTTCCAATAGCCAAAATTGGACTTTTAATTAACCACAAATCGAATAAAAAACAAGCAATCAAGCGTGAAATGCAAATAAAAAGAATAAATCAACAAGTAAATAAACAAGACATGATAATTAATAGAATGCGGAATAAAGTAGAAGGACGGACTGTGGCGTATTGAGCTGATAGTAGAAAATACTTTCCTCCGAGCTCGTAGAGACTGGAATCTCTCGTAGAACTCCGTCCATCAACTCAATGCGAGTTATGTCGGGTCGGCTTAGGAGCTCTGAGTCAGCGATACGCAAAGCGTCAAACCCTGTTTCAACTGCAGCGATTCCTGGTGCCAGGGCAAGGGTCACATGTGCTCGACATCCCTTTGGTCGGGGTTCATCCGGTGCTACAGTAGAGAAAGAATTAACAGAACTGTAGGAGTATTCACTGTGAATAACATTAATGCAAAGTAATATATGCGATCTTAATTGACTAACTACTTATTTACGGTGATGGAAGGACAATAAAAAGGTGACTCCATTCACCAGCTGTATGTCTATGTATCCATTTCCGTGGTAGCTATTCAGAGGGGGGGGGGAGTCACTTTCTCTCACCACAAGATGGGTTTTATAAAAGAACTCCATCAATGAATATGGAGTGTCATTCATCATATTTGCGACGGTCACTTGAAGTAACGAGCCAATTTTCAGCATTTATAATTGGAAACGCTATAAATATTGATTAGAGTGCTACAAGATATTTTCCTTCATTTCAAAGGAAACACCGGTTCATTCATATATTGATTCAACAGACATATTCAAGACCTCTTCCTACTTTAACTTACGAAGTGTTGGAGCTGGTGGTTAATTGGTTCTGGGGTCAAGTATTAGTCACTAAATAGTATCGGTTAGAAACTAAGTCCTGTGGGTATCGCAAAAAGTACCAGAAAGTACGAATCAACGCTTACTGGTAAAGAGAGCAAATGGTTTTACAAATCAACAATTATGAAACAAATACAAATAAGCGAAACTTGATTCTAAACTTGCATTTAAGGAGAAGAAAATAAATTTAAATATCTCATACTCTTTGGACAGTTAATGTTTCAGACCACAAATGCGTTAATAAGGTGATTTAATGCACAACAAATAGTAAATTAAAGCAAAAGATCTGAATGACACCATTGCTTTTTAATCGTGTAGTCTGAAGAAAATGAGTTTAGCCAAAAAAGCAAACCAACAAAACTTCGTTGTTTGTAAAAGGTGCTAAACAAAAGGGTCGTTAACATGCGTAATTTCGGCGAAAGGCCGAACCATTTAAGTATTTTCATTGAGTAAGAGGATTTGGGGCTATTAGTTTAGAACTACAGTAAAATGATAAATTCACCGTCTTTAAATTAGATTTCCTATGGAGACGAAATATATGCCTATTGGTGACTAATATAAGTCCCTAATTTATTGACATTAAAGATAAATGGAAGGTTACTTCTGCTTCTTCGTTCAAGAAGACTATTTGGTTTTTACACTGGCTCATAAACGATTGAGCCAAAACTGTAGGAAACTATCATTTAATGTACACTAGGGCTTCCAGTACATTATAGGATCTTAAGACTAAGATCCACAGCTAACTGACCTGGAAACAGTATTTGCTAGGAATTCCGAAGTAAATAAGTAATTAATGAAGCACTTCGATACTTGAATACTTAGGTATAAAGTCGATAATTGCCTAACTTATCCTGTGATATCGTGAATGACTAAATAAATGACATGAATACACAATGCATTGGTGCGTTTCAATAGAGACAACTGGAAAGATGGTAAGGAGATAGAACTAAGACCTTATTCCTATTTAAATAAGTGTTTTGGTAGGTTTTGTGGGAGAAGTGACCGAAGTACGGAAAACTTCACAAAGTATTAAAGTGCATTAGAATGTGACAATAATGCTATGCACCATAAATCAATGAGAAAATAGTATAACATTTATGCGATGTCAGGAGATTTATTTAATCCATTGATCGGTAATATTTTAATTGACTTATTTATCATTTGATATATTGCTATATTATTTGGTGTAAATTCATACTACTATGGCCCTCATGATTAATTGATCTACATGTGAATACGGGTACATCAGATTTCAAAACAGAATTAAAGCCTCCATTAGGTGAATTTTAATACCTAAGTCAGAATGTTACATCATTATATTTTTCAATCACATCTAAGCATATAATATCAAAATAGACTATTAATAGGCTTAACGATCAGAAAACGTTGGATGAAGATGTGAAAAGTGACAAATGAATGAAAGATAAGAGAAGGATGCCATTTTAAACTAACGAAAGTTGAACCATTAAATATACGCATACTTACAATAATGAAAGCATTCTTACCATATCCATCAACTGGTTCATCATCCAGCCCACCCCAGAGATCCATCTGCTCATCACCGCTTAGTTTCACCCTCAGACCAATGGTCCGTTTGGTGACGAATAGTCCCTCCAAACAAATCGATTGAATACATCCTAGCAAGCCCTTACGAACCGCACTCCGATTGGAGTATTCAATGGCCCCCGTGGCACGACCAAAGTTGGAATAAAACGTTGTACAATGAGGTCTCGAAACTTGGATGATAGATTCTGATGGTTCGCCAAAAGTAGGATACACTGCAGAGGACCAGAACTTTGCCAAATGGTTTCTATCTATATCTGAAAGAAAACATCCTCGTGAATATTTTCATTTATTAATTATAATAATCAAGTCGGAAGTATGCAAAGCATTTGACTTGAATGGGAAGAATTCCTGAAGTTGCTTTGATGATCAGAATTAACCAATGAGATTGGCTGTTCACACAACGTAATATATGCACTGATAAATATAAATCGGTAACCACTGGCTTGATTTCTGACCCCTACACCACCGACGCATGTCTGTGAAAAGCGTTTTTTTCTACAAAAATAATTGGAGTAGAGAAGGCATAAGAGAGTCACTGAGAAATTTTCATTCTCCCTATAACAGCCAGGCAGACGTAATGAGATTCTTTGACAATTAGTACGCATATAACTACCGGATAGATATGATCAATATTAGTCAATAAAATATACTCTCAGTCTTTACAGCAAAATAATCAAGATAATATTTGAGAAAGTTTTATCTATGCAAATCTTCTATTCACTAATGGCAAATACCAAGCTTCGATTACTTAATTTACAAAGACAATTCACAAACCAATAATAATAAATCATTGACTTATTACTAATTCCTCAAATTTATTAATAAATAACAAGGAAATAATCTTACTCGAATCAAGATTGCACATCGAAGCCAACCTCTGCCGAACGTAAGGTAGTTCCAAGATAGATAAGAAACTCGCATAGAACCGTCGAATAATCTGCTCCGTTTCCTTACTTGGATGAGTTCCATTCCGATCTGGATAAACGTTGCTGCTTGTCGCACCAGCGAAAAACCATCCATAATAAGAAGGATAAATGGTCGGTTCAAAGTGAGATATCATGGAACTAATAATTTCTGGTGAAACACGATGCATGCTTTTGCCCGCCAGTGACATAACATCGAATCTCCAAGGTGTTTTAGGGGTCACGATAATAACGTTATAATCAAATGATCGTGCGATCTCTGTATAAAGACGACATTCGTAGGATCGAATGTTGTTACCGTCAATGACAATAGGACTTATCGATTGACAAGCACAATCCCTAACTTCAGCCTCACATGCACGAAGAACAGCATCATGATCACATTTGTATAAACGGTTACTGAACGAATATGTATGCATATCTTCATAACATATCTACAAAATAAGTTTACGAAACCAATTAACATACATGTGCAGTCGGATAGCGTTTCTTTATACGATCAGCAAGATATGATTTTCCCGAACCAGGGGGTCCTCTAAGAATTAACATAAACTTGGTTGAGACAACCCATTTCCCAACTTCTGGATCATATAGAAATGGGTATTTAGCGTATTCTGAATTTATAAAAGGAGTTTGAGAGAGATATGGATCGGGATGTCCAACTGAGTGATTTCTTTGTAAATAACGATAGGGTGGGTGCCGAATACCAAACCACCGTAGTGACGGACAGAATGGATAATCGCACAATCTCTCACATTTTTGTCCCATATTGTTGGGATAGCAGGACTTAATTAAAAAAGACATATAATATTAAAAAATATGAACTTTTTTCGAATATTATTAGGTTTGGAAACGTTATGATGCAAATGATGAACAGTATACGATAATACGCATAAATCAACAAGAAGCAGTCTTAATTTGAAATTGGGCTAAGGTTATGGGCAGTCCAACCAATAGGAAGACTGAGATAATCAACGCAACAAATCAAAAAATTAGAAGGGCCAATGACAATAGAGAGTTATGAAAGACCAGATTCCTATTCCATTGTCATGAGCACTGGCAATGTTTGTGACGTGACTATCCATTGGTACATATTTCCTGCTTCTCCTGCTTGTTCGGCAACCTTTTAAAAGATGACTTTACCTTCAATGGAACCTTATCTCAAATAGTAGCAATAAACTATTTTGTCTAAGTTCAGTCAACAACAATTAAGTCCAAAACAAATAGTCCATAGTTAAGTAAATGTCATTTAAAGCTCTTATTTCAAGTTTGATAACCTTATTAGAATTCGTTGATTTAATAACAATAAAAAGGAATGAAAATTTTAAAAATAATTTTAAATGGGATGTATTATTTAAAGTTTTTACTTGGTAAATTTCAGTATGGTTTTGGTGGTGTATTTATTTTTATTTCGAAAGGCGTTTAATGAATATTCCGTGTTGGATTTAGATGAACTAATGATATCTCAGCTCAAATTTTGAATGTCTTGAAAGATTAATTTGGTGATCAGTAGTGCTGTAACCACGGTAAAGTCCTATGGTTGCAAAGTTGCATTTGCTCAATGCAATGGATTATTATAAGTTCACTTCGATTTTTTCTCATATATTCTCAACATGTTTCCATTCTGTGCTAAAATAAGCCAACGATGTCATGGAAGTATAAAGTGTGAAATTAACAGTATTTACTACCAATTATAGCCGAATTCAGACAAAATCAGTGAAATTCAGGAAACAATTATTGCAATTATTTTGTTGAGAAAAACATCAAATGGCACAGGTGAGCAATAAGAACTCATATCTTAGTTTTAAAATGAATATAAACTCGCCCATGAAGATGAAAATACATTCTCTGAAATAGTTTACATACAAATAATTCAATATGCCAAGATACTTTAAATTACATTTTGCAAAGTATTTCATTAAAGAATATTTTATTTTGTTGGTTTAATGAATTAACTCTAATATTTCGAGCAATTCCTCTAGCAACTCTTTCTATAGCCTACCGCATTGGCGATCTATTTAAATGTTCGAGAGGTTATTACCATTTGTGGTAAAACGTAGATTTGCCGTAAGGAAAGGTATATTTTAATGTTCTAATGATCTCTTTAGCTGTTAAGGGGGTTGCGGCTGTGGCCAAAACTCGTGAAATTCCAGTAGAGACTGATGCCAACAAACTAGTCAACTTTTGCTGCATTAACTACAGAATCGATGAACAACCAATTCCTCTGAAACCTGATAGGTAAATGTAGATTTGTCTTTAAATGTATTTAAATACTTCAGTGAGTACCCTGAATGGTTGTGGTCTATTAGGACATCTAGGAAGCCACAACGGCTGGATGAAGCTGATCCAGAATCCTATTATTACTGGCGTCGATTGAGAAGACTTCATAACCGTCACTTAAATAATCTGGCCAGCATTCATGGATGGCATCGCAAAGAACATCGTGATCCCCGATCACATTCCGACAGGGCCTATGGTGACTTAAATTACGCATTAAAGAAGTGGACACCGGGGCAATAGTTTGTCATTTGTACTTTAGTGAAGCTTCGTTGTGAACTCCCTATTATTTTATATCAAGTTCCCTTACTCCATAATTCAACGAAACAAAAACATTCAAAAGCATTTTGAAGTTCATTTATATTGGACGGTACATATGTGAGTGGCATAATTAAGATAGAAGGCAAACAAATAGGAAAAGAATTGAGAGAGGTTGTCATAGAGAGTACCTAATCAAGGGATTGATAAGTGTATCCTTTATGTCCTCTTCGTTTCCATTGGCATCCGTTTCCACGGCTGAAAATTAAGATGAAAAAGTCATTCCCCTGTACCTCTGGATTTCCTCTGTCAAAGTGTGACTAACCTTGTAAATATAGGAAGTAGGGCAGTACCACAGTTACTACCAAATACCTCTTTGAAATTCTGAACACATCCCAAGTCGTATCCTTTCTTGTCGACTCCAATTCCCACGAAGGTAGGCGATCGAAAGCTTTCTAAAATGAGAAAAGGGCTGATAGGTTCTTGAATGAGAATCGAAAACAGACGCTACTCCAAAGCGTCATCGAATCTCTCGTTTACGAATCAAGACTCTTCAAGTGAATTCACCAACTATTGACTTAAAAATGACTTATTCTTAAACGCCTTTTATATCTGTATCAATTTATACGAACGATTAAGGAATAAGACGCAATGACGATGTTCTTTGACATGCTTCCGGCTTTGAGTACCACATTGGTGAATGGGTTTAGGGGCAATAAACCGTATGGATTAGCTTGGATAAACGAGGAAGCAATTAACTCTCGTTTAGCCAATAACACTGGCAGAATGCGAAATACCCTCCATAAAATGAGTGTTCAAAATTAATTCTGGACCAGTGGACTAACTGAACATTCGATGTTGAATATTTATATCAAATTGCAAGATTTTGATAGCTACCTTTAGCTGACTTCGGGCTTCACAAAGGGAAGGAACAACAAAGTCACAAAAAGTGAAGAGGAGGACAGAAAAGGTAAGGTGAGTACTGTGTAAGTGGTGAAGTATGACATACAGTGCGGTCATGGTAGTTTGAAGTCAGAAGTCAACTGCCGGTTTATGGGCTACTGCCGTATGAGTATATGTTGGCCAGGGTACACCACGTGGAGATAAGTCCATCGCACACCCCTGTGCTCTGAATATACCTATACAAGTGCAACATGACTGTGCTTTGGAATATTTAATTAATACAAAGTGAATGATCTCCTCTTATGAAAAAGCTACCAACTCAATGCCTCCAGAATTCAAATAAGGCAAGATTCTTCGCATCCCGGCTTTATTGCATACTCATACCCGAACTCGGGGGCCTCCACTCCCCTTCCATCAACCCTTCGCTTGCAGTTTGGCTAATTGGTCAGTTCCGATACCATTCAATTATTGATTGTAATTCTTTCCCTACGTCGGGTGGTTATATTAAAAAAAAACTATAATTACAAAGAACAAAATTTGATTAAGAATATGAATGTAATAAGAATAGCTTCCTAATAAAACCCATTTTCCGCAATATGTCGATATTTTCTACTAACTACAAGGGACATTTATGAGCAAATTTCACGTGGTCTTAATGGTCAAACTAATTTATTTACATAGTTGATTTTTTTGACTTGCCGTCTCCAGACTACGAATAAAATTGGGCGTAGCCGAGTGAACGGGGAAATAATTTTAAGCTTCGTTCCTGTCTGCCTTAAAATGAGGATAGAGCTCTTCCCAGTGGACCTCGTGGGACTTTATTATGACAAATCTGGTAGCACCATTCTCCTATATAAACGAAAGCCAATTCTCTGCTAGACTAAACTACTGTCAGATAGGAAATTAATGGGATGTGCTTCGACTGCGAAAAAAACGAATAGTATAGCTAATCTATCTTTCATAAGAAAGGACTTAATCCTGTCTTAAACATATTCGAGACACACCTGTGAAAAAAAGCAACGAAAATGACACGAAATAATGGCGCAAAGAAGCGAAATTCACTTTGTTGGATTGCCAAAAAATATAACAAATTCGTATGCGAGAGAGTTTTGCAAATTGTGACTGTCCTCTTGAACATTTAAAAAGCGAATTGAAGAGGAAAAGATGACACACATCTTTAACGTCAGGCAATAAGCATACGAGAAACACTGCAAACTTACATTTATTGAAAATCGGGAAATGAACAGAGAAATTTAAATTTTCGAACGTGAATTGAGTCCACAAAATCGAATGAAGCAAAACTCTTTAATGTCTCGACGTTGCCCATAGTGGATTTTCGACAGCTTCCAAGTTATAATAATTTGTTGAGGCTACCTTTAGGCAATGCTATTTGCTTCAAATAAATAAGAATTTGTACTTCTTAATACTGTCGATAATGTTACAATTGAGTTACAATAGGAAATAACGCCTTTCACAAACGAATGTTTGGTTTCAACTTGTGTCCAGACACGGTGAAGGAAACAGCTTTGTGAGTTACTTTTATCCCAAGAGACAAATTATATAACTTTAGTTCGAAGCTATAAATTTCATTTTACTGCTAAGAACAAAAATTTCCAATCTCGAAGCAGACAGAAAATGGATCGAAATTGCATACTGATTTGCTTGCATCAGTGGGGCTTATGAATGTCTTCACTGCTACTAAGGCCATAACTGAAATTTACGGCTAAGTGGCTACACTTCAACGGCAGAAAGTTTTCTTT